GTAGTAGGAGCTCTAGAGAGTCTATAGCCAGCTGACGAGTGGACTTCAGAGCCTTGCGCCAAATAGTGTACACAGGGGAGCGTGGGTCTGGAAAGGCAGCAAACAACGCACAGAGGGCACCGCATGGGTTTAGCAAGAAGCAGAAACCAACCTAGAGGGAAGACATAAAGGCGAAGTATACTCGTTCTGAAAAGGGAGCGATACGCTACTCAAACCTGTTGTAACGCATAGGCAGAGTAGCGATAGTGGCAGCCAGCACGTGCAAGGCCTTCCCTGAGGAAGTTTTATCAGTCTTACTTGCTGCTTTATTGAGGACTTCGATGAGAACAACAGCAGGTTTAAATATCGAGGGTCGCGAAAGGAGCATGAGCGGATCGGCGATGAAATACATTTGGATTAACCACGCCTGCAGATTAGAGACACGGGGCCCCTCTCCAGGAGTAAAGTCCGGAGTGGCTTCTTCAGAAGTTTGGCGTTGAACAAGATTTCTCACGGTCTCCTGAGCTGTATCTTGTTCAACTCCGGCTGCCTTGCTGAGCAGAAAGGCTGCGGCGCGTTCCACGGCCCCTATCTGCAGCTGCTCCAGCATTTCGCGGAGCTTCTCTTTGGTCGTGCTTGGTGTTTGCAGCAGCTCGTCCAGCACTCCAGTAACTAATTCACGCACGGGCTCGATAGCCATGAACGGGCGTTTCTTGCTAACGCTCTCGAGTGCATTTTGCAGACGCCCGCGAGCAGCAGCAGAAGCCTCGGGGGAAGCTGTAGCTCCCAGCACGCCTGCCTTCACCAATTGGTCCCACAGATGATCCAACAGAGCTGCAGCAGGCAACGGAATGACAGGAACAGACAGGTGTATGCTGTTAGAGGGGTCTATAATGGTTGGACTTTCGTTGCATGAGTTGTTTTCCACCAGAGGTTAGCTTGTGTTGAACCGTCTAGATTGCAGCTTCAAGTTACCTTGGTCTGCAGACTGCTGAATTAACTTCGCGTTTTCGATCCCCATACGGATGAAATACGCGAAGAGTCGTTCGGCCTCCAGCATCTCTTGCTCCACCGATATTCTGGAGCGCAGTTCCAGCCAGAGGGGATGGACACACAGTTGCTGTCGGCTCTGGTGAGTGTTTCTGGACTGCTCTTGTGCGGAAGATGCGTCTATGCTTTGTT